ACTTACAAGTTTGAAATAGGAGAGACTGTTTGAAAGATGGGAGAACCTGGATTGATGTCTGGTCCCTCTCAGTCCCAAGAGCGAACCGCTTCCCAAACAAAGAGCACAAACAAAAGCCTCCCCCCAAGATTTGAAAGTATCTTGTCCCCTTATTGGTCCTTTAGGTCAGATGCCAACCAGGTTACCTGAGTTTCTTACCCCTTTACAGGGAAAAGGATTTTGGAGTTTCTGGCCAGGAGGGATTTTATAGTACTGTACACCGGACAGCTGTTACCCTTCCCTTTATAGTTATGACAGTGTGGCACCAGGGCAGACCCCCGCCCTGCAATCGCACAGTTTCATTGTGAAGTCCGGGCGTGGGGGGCAGTTATGCGGAGATGGAGGTTGACTTTACAGGCTTAGTAGCCAGTTAGGGCTACACTGAGGCCCTTAGTTAATGTCTAGCAGCACAGCTGTGACACAGGGCAGGGCCAGGCCCTTCGGCTGCACCAACCCAACGCTCCTCGCCTGCGGGCCCCCTGACACCGGTACCGACACCCACCGCCATGGCAGGAGCCTCGCGCACGGCCCCGGCTGGGACAGTTCGGAGCGACGGACACCCCGGCTTCTGCCTCCGCAACAGCAGCTAGGCAAAGACTAGTTGTGCGCCTGCGCACGGATGTGACCCCACTCCCCGCCGCTTTTCTATGCTTTCTGCGCATGCGGCACCTTGTCGCGCACGCGCCTTAGGCTCGGGGAAGCTGGCCGGCCCGAGAAAAGGCCTGACCCTGACCATGGCGGCGGCAGAGGCTGGGGCCCTGCCCGCCGAGGAGTGCGTGGGGCAGGTGGTGCTGCCGGGGGACGTGCTGCTGCTGCCCTCGCACCCCGAGGCGGATGGGGAGCGGCTGTGGCTGGGCCCGGGCGCCGCTCTGCCGGGCCGCTTGGTGTGCGGGCCGGGCCTGAGGAGCTGTCGGGCCGGGCTGCTGGTCACCAAGTGCGGGCTGCTGCGCCACCGCCAGCCGGGCGGGGCCGGAGGCGGCTCGGGCGGGGCCTACTGGGTGGACTCCCAGCAGAAGCGGGTGAGAGCGCCGGAGCTGACGGGGGCGGGCCCAAGGGATGAGGGGCGGGCGGCGCTGCAGAGCGGGGGTGGGTGCTGTGAGTGCCTTTCCCCCGGTGGGCTCCGTGTGGCTCTGCGCACAGAGCGCCTTGGCTGAAGCCTGGTGAGCTTGCTCTGAAGCTCGCCCTTGCTGGGACGGTCCCTCTCTTCCTTCCTCTCGCCTCACTTTCTCACTCTCCAGGCGCTGCACCTCGCCTCCTCTTTAAAGCTCGCTGTGGCACCCTTCATTCAGAGCACCCTTCACGCAGAACCGGAGTGGAAACCCCTTCCATTGCTTTTCTTGGGAATTGCGGGGCTGCAGGCAACGTCTGGTATCCACTTAGTCCCCGTCCACACACAAATTACTATTATACTGTGCCACTTGTCAGTGGCGTGATTGACTACAATCTGTTTATGATGCTGCTAATAATCCCTGATTTGAAGCCTAGTGTGGCACAGATATCAGTTCTTGTAAGGCGTTATGCATGCTATTACTTTGTTGTGTGGGGGTCACCCACAACTGTGTTCTTGTAATAACTAATCCTACCATAACACTGTACAGTTGTTGAGTTGTACATCCAACGGTGTACATAAATTGCTGTTCAATTCCAGGGCCTCATGAGTACCAGGCTTTGGGCATTAATTTACCACTGCTGTGGTTTCTCTAGTGGTAGCAAAAGTGGGAGTGCTACTGTATACAGGGTTTTTCTGCCCTTTGCTGTGTTCAACAAACCTGCTAGTTATGTGGTTGAGTGTTGCAACTGGTAGCTGAGAAAGCTAGAGGTATCACTGGTAAAAATACACTGCTGCTGGTAACAATAGGAGATTTTTTTCCTCTTTGTGCCAAAAGTGTGGGAATCCTCCCCAGCATCTAAGCTTACTCAGAAGACTTAACTGTATCCTCATCTGGAAAAAAGGGGGCTGAGGAGGTACTAAAATAACCACACTTGGTGCAGGCTACAGCAACTGATGGGATGCTATGGGATAGCTGGCCAAAATTTCTCACAATAAACTTCTGTT